ATGTTGGACCCACTGGTAAGACAAACACCCTTTTCCACAAATAAAGACACTCACATAAAGTTGCATCTATTCAAACCTCACGTGACAAAGGTGGGTTGTGGCACAGATCACAACATAAACTCCATAAATGGCATTAAAATCAGAACCACCTGTGCGTGAATGATGCATCGCATTCTGTGGCCTGGCTCTTTCTTTCATAGATGTTGGCATATAAAATAAATTTGACTCACAAAACTGAATATCATAATATCCGTATGTAGGCTTAAATTAGATAACTCATCTGAGCACTGAAACAAATCATCTGTTCAGCTGCAGCAGGACGGAGAGAGGACATGGAGACATGTCCAGGTCGAGCTGTGGGAGAAATAAGAGAAGAGGAAGAAGAAAGGGAGGGAGACGAATTAAATATCTTGTTAACTTCATCATGTGTGTCTATTTACTAGATATTTAATTTAATCTAATGTGGTTTCAGCTGTGTTGATTCGGTCAGGTTGTGTGTCCAAACGCGTTCATTGCTATTGTGGCAATGTATCAGAAATGGACAGGAAGCTGACTACAGAGATCTGATAAGAGCCTTCAGTGACTGGAGTCACAAAAACTGCCTCCTCCTCAACACCACAAAGACAAAGGAGATGGTCATAGACTTCCGTAGACCCAAACCCCCTCTTCAGCCAGTGAACACCTGTGGAGTGGACATCAAAGTGGTGACATCACATAAATATCTAGATGTACATCTGGATAATAAGTTGGACTGGTCTAAGAATCAGTGGCGATTGCTCTAAGATTGCAAGGGAAGCTCAGCTTCCCTTAAAATGTCACCCCCCAAAAAAAGAAAAAGTGGTGAAATACGTACTGCTGTGTGTACATTTCATTGACTAAATACGTGCTAGAAAGCCTTCATCTTTTGTTCAGAATCAGCTTCTTATCACACTGTGATAAGAAGCTGATTCTGATCCTCGCAGCGCCTCAGCGCTTTAAAAAGCCGGACGCTCGGCTTCTGCTGACTTCAATGTGGAAGCTCAAAGTGGGTTGTTCCAGCAGCGAAACTAGACGCTCATTGGATAAATGCTGGGCTTTGTCCCGCCCATCGGACGCTCGGCGTCTCTGGAGTTCTATGGCGAGAGGGCGGTCCCGACTTTCTCCCGGACTCCGAGCTTCTGCATCCATGATTGGATGAGCTGTCTGAGGCGAAATCCTTTTTTGATTGACAGCTAAACAAGCGAATCAGCGATCTTGAAGAATAAAACATCTACCAGAGCATTTTCCAAGTTATTCATTCCGTTGTTCTTAACTGCTCCGGAGACTTTACCGATCCTCAGCGACTTTTGTCTTTGTTAAAAACAACTGCCATTGTGTTTGGCGACTCTGTTCTGTTACATACAAATAAACAAACACAATTATGATGTAGGCCAGAAAAATGAGCTTCCCCTCCTTGAAAGACCAGCAGCCGCCACTGCTGAGAATTTAGACTACATCTACAGAAAGGGGCAGAGTCGCCTCTTTTGCCTGAGAAGACTCCGATCAATAGACATCTGTAGTAAGATGCTGCAGATCTTTTATCAGACTGTGGTGGCAAGTGTTCTGTTCTACGCTGCAGTCTGCTGGGGAGACTGGGGTCTGACGTCGTCATTTAAGTTTTCGTCCTGCCTGACGAAAACAACACTGGTACCAACAGCCATCAATAATAGATAACTTTTATAAACATATTATGTGAGACAACAGACAATTGAATTTCCCTTTGGGGATTAATAAAGTTGTTCTTATTCTTATAATTTGTAGTGCTTAATATTTTCTCTATTGTGCCAATAAATATATCAATGTTGCTCCCCGCTTTCCTATACATGCAGTTCACTATTATATTTTTTGTACCTTGTATGCTCACTTTTATGGTGATGCACTCCATGACCTCATCAAGTTCTTATTCTTCGGGTCCTCTCACACCGGGAGCATTTTTTTCGTATGATTAATTCGGACATCAATATTTTTTTCGAACCCGTATCCTGTCAATACAAGCGTTCACATCAGCGATGTTTTCCTTTCTTGCGATACTGTGGCATTTATTTTTTTCGGATCACAGTCAATTTTTCTAAAGTTTGGCATAATGTGTGTCCACCTCTGACCAATCAGATTGCGTGTTGTTGTGATGTCAGATTCACCGGTATAGCCAACATGGCTGACCGGCTGATCGTGTATTTGTCGGAGAACAGAGTGCTTTTTGATAAAAGACACAAATATTACAAAGATAACGACCTGAAGGACAACTTGTGGAGAGTCATAGCGTCAGATTTCTCATATGACGATAGTTTGTGTGCTTTAACAGTTTGCAAAACGTCTCTGTTTTAACTTTCATCTGTGCTAAGTAACTTTAGCTCATAAGCTAACCTGTTTATATACAACATACCATATGTATTTCAAACTCAATTACGTTGCTGTCACAGCACCATTAGGTCTCAGTTGTTACCTTACGTTTATGGATTATAGTTAATGTGGTTATCTGGTACTGGCCCCAACTCAGTACATGCTGTCATGACAGACAGACATCTCAACACTAGTGTCTAATCAGAACTGAAAACAGTCAGTCTGCTGTTGTGTCAGTCTTCTCACTTCCAGGTGGAAGCGAGAAAAAAAAAACAGGTCCTTCACAAATTACAATGATAGTCACTATCGACCCTGTTATGCCCCTGAAGGCAGCACTATGGCGCTAACAACTTTTCACACAATGATCCATTTACATAAAACATCTTGAAACATTATCACAGGATTTATCATTTGAAAAACACATATTTAAATAATTTGAGGATTGTTCAAAGAACAAATCAAGAAGCCAACTAAAATACAAAGAACCAAAACACAAGGACCCTCTAAATGAGCGGCAGCAGGGCAGCAGGTCCCCTCCTACTGACTGCCCCATCTGCAGGCAGCTCCTGGGTTTAACACTATCCGGATCAGGTGAGGCAGATTGCTAATCAGTGACTCCCCCCGGACAGAGCTAGGGAGGACAAAAGGGAAAAGACCGAACAGGAAACATACAGCCATAACAACCCCAACAATGCGTCTATTTTCTACATGTCATTTTAGGCAAAACATAATTTTTTTTGTCATTCATTCTGAAGTCTGTAAATAACCTCATTTTACTACAAAATGGCACATATCCCAGTTCAATTTGGGTGACCAAACATCCTGTTTTCCTCTGTCCTGTCCTGGCTGCTTCTTCTTCTTCTTTTTTTTTTTTTTTAAATAAAGGGATGAAAATGGCCATGTTTTCATTGTTTTTAAAAAAAGAAAGCAAAAGATCAAGAGAATCTCAATGGCAGGCCGAGTCCTGTTTTCAGCAATCATCCTAAGTGTTCCAGACACACATAGACGCACAAACAGAATACCACAAACCACCAAGCCAGCCTCTTTCTCCATTACCCTCCTCAGAGACCCCATTCAGGCTAGTTTGAGAAGACTTGATCTCAACAAGAATGCACTGACCCAGGCAAACCACCCTTCATGTTTCAGTCCTGTGGCATACAAGATTGCGCGCACACACACACACACACACACACACACACACACACACACACACACACACACACACACACACACACTCTAGCTCCTACAAACGTAAGATGATCTTATTACTTCTGCCCGATTCGGCCTCAGAAGATCAGCAGTACTCTCTCACCTTCAACACCTGGCTGGCTTTCAGGATTGATTTAACCAGTAGTCACAGTGTAGCATGTTAATGCTGGCTTCAGGTTGGGCACCATATTGGGAGTTCTCTAAAACTGAGGCCACAGGTGGTGTGATTTAGACCTGTTAAATAATGTTACCAAAATTTAGACAATGTGAAATCCTTTTCATAAACCACAGAGCACAGCTGTTTGGTCAGCAAAAGTCTTGGACAGTACAGAAAAGTAAAACAAGTAAAGTGAGGAATCCTCACTCACTTCCCTCCAGGCGAGCTCCTTTTTATTCCTGTTTTTATTTTAAAAAAGCTGTGGATACGAGAGAGGGGGAAAGTTTCCATCAGGCATGCGTCATTTTCGGGTTACCTGAACTCAATTTGATGACCTGTTCCCGCTGCCAGAGTGGAAAGAGCATCTAATCGCGTCTTTGCATTGACTTTACATGTATATTCATTAGTGTGAATAATTTTACTCGCACTTGTTGTGAACGCCCCTGAAGTCTAAAAGCATTTCTACTAATAGTTTTTGGTCTATGTTTCTGTAAGAACATGGCAGTTGCATTCTATTTTTAGCAGGTCTATTGAAGGAAATGCCTCAACATAGTGAGTGTTAGTAAGCATTATGATGTTTCTTGGGTGGGCAGGGCATAACCTGAGGCAAAGGAATCCTCTTAACCAGGTGTCTTCATATAAATTTTCAGTGGGTCCACCTGAATGAAATGCCTGCAGGCCTGGGTCCAGAGATTTTTATTTATTTTTTTACAGTGCATTACTCTTTTGAAATATTCACTTCATTTGTATTGCCAATAACGGCCTACTTTCAATTGGCTGTGTGCTTCCTGCGGGTAAAATGAATGCAAATGACTCGGTCCACCCGCCATTAAACACCCTGTTCTCATTGTCTACCTTTCGTGGTTTTGAAGCTGACATGTTTAGCTGCTGCTACAACTTTCTCCTCAGTCTGCCGCCTGACAGTTTTCAACATCGGGATTGCTCGGTAATCTTCGTGTGTCGAGTAGGCTAAGAGGTCTGATTTGATTGACAAGTCAAGCGAGTAAGCAAGTGATGTAATGCCTTGCTGAAATTGCATGTGCAGTTTACTGAACCAGGCACAAAGCAAGAGAGTAAGGCTGCACGATATTGGAAAAAACTAACATTGCGATTTTTTTCAACCCTGCGATATATATTACAATATTAAAAATATAGGAATTTTCACCAGATGACCTGAATAGCATTTAATATTATGCTGCACCGCTGAAATCTTGAGGACAGTAAACCTGCACTGATCTTACCTCTTTTTGTGAATGTTAGAATGGCTTCTGTCTGTCTCAGAGATATTTTTAGCTTTTATTGTTCTGGGACATTATTGTGGCGACAGATGAACACAGAACACGTGTTTTGGTCAACATCATCCTTCTTTTAACCGAAATAATTCCAGATAACTGACTTTCCTTTTCTTTTTGGCAACAAATCTTCATTTTCGGTGGTTTTCTCTTGTTCGTTGCTCAGTTTGCGATCGTTGTTGTTGTTGTTGTTAGCGGTGTTGTGCCGAGAAACGCATGTCCTCCGAGAATTGCATGCACCTCGCAAAACGCGCACCGCTTATAGTAGAGTGGTCCACGGAAATATACATTTTAAAACCCATACAGTTCTTATTTGTTGGGCTTAACAGTCATGAGTAATGTTCCGAAAGTAATACTCAGAGGACACGCATTTCTGGGCTCAACACCAGCAGCCAGCGAGTACCTCCATGTGCAGAAAATGTGCAGGGGTGGGTTTCCTCCTCTCTGATTTTGATTGACAGCTGGCAGGGTAGTCTGATTGGCAACTGAGAACTGAGTCTGATTGGCAACTGAGTAAAGGACAAAGGTGATTGGTGGATCGCTGCACAGCACATGCAGAGTCACATGCAGTGTATCTCAGTCAGCTACCCTTGAAATTAACTGAGTTCATTCACCTCCGACATCGCAGGCTCTGTGATGTGACTATTGCACACACGTACATCGCGATGACGAGAGAGAAAAAAAACATACATTTTTCTGCGATAGGCTCGGGTTGAACTCTTTCCTGGTCCGGAAGTGGACCGCGGTCCGCCATATGGAGACCACTGCTCTAAACAGTTGTTTTTGGCTTGTTTTCAACAGTGAAAGATAGCCAAATATAATATTGATCACTTGCCCTTTCACATATGAGAGCAGACAGACCAAACCATGGATGGATGATTTTTCAGGTGTGCAAAAGGTGGAATGGCTTTACTCTGAACTGATGTGTAATGTGTAAAGTGTAGGAAAGCAAAGCAAATGAGTATCCCGGATTTTAGTCAGTCAAAAGAGAGCCAAACTAAGCAGGACATCAGAATCCCCAACTGCCTGGTGTGTCGATAAATGGAGGTCATTACACTATATTATCAATCTATCAATCAATCAATCAATCAATCAATCAATCAATCAATCAATCAATCAACTTTATTTCTATAGCACATTCTATTATTTCTATAGCACATTTAAAAGAACCATAGGAGTAACCAAAGACATAAAAACAAATAAAACATGCAAAGAACAAGATAGAGCAAGCAAAAATACATAAATGCAATAAATAAATAAATATATAAGCAGGCTCACTGTAAGTGCTAAGATGAAAGCAAACAAAATAACACTAAAATGTATTAAAAGCCAAGGAATAAAAGTGTGTTTTTAAAAGGGATTTAAAAACAGGAAACCAGGAGGCCTGTCTAATTCTCAGGGGCAGGTCGTTCCAGAGCTTGGGAGCAGCTGCGGCAAACGCTCTGTCACCCTTGAGTTTCAGTTTTGTTTTGGGGACCGTCAGTAACAGCTGATCGGCTGATCTTAGGGGTCGGGGTGGGCAGTAAGGCTGGAGCATATTGGAAATGTAAGATGGAGCCAGGTATGGACACAAACAGTGTTTTTTGTTTTGCATGTATAGAAAAAGCCATCAGCTTTACACCATCATGGATGGATGGGAACGCATTTTGCAGAGAGTGGATTTTCAAACTGGGGGATGGCCAATGCAAAGCTTCAGTTTTTAGTCACTGCTACTCAGAGATGCCATTAATATACTTCTGGATGTACTCTTCTCTTTGATATTGCAGCTAAAGAGCAGCAGGCAGCAAGTACATCCTCAAGAATTTGTTTCAATTCTTTTCATATTTATATCAGAAAGGATTGGCTTTCAGAGGAGATCAAATGAGAAATGAAATCCTTTATGAACTGATGTTGGAGTGGACCTCTAGAGGTCATCCTGCGAAGAAAGAGAATGAATCACTGGATGAGATGATTCAAAACAAGATAACCAAGTTTGCCCATGCCCAAGCCCATTGGAATTTCCTGCATCAGTGATTCTTAGGGACTGCCGCTGATGGCACAACTGATACCTGCACCACTGGGCAGTTTTCCTGCTGTCCTCAGTATGTTGACATTGATCACAAAATCCCAAAACATCACAGTGTGATGTATTGGGATTTTACAACAGCCCAGATATTACTGCAGAGACACTGTATACTTGTTTGAAAGACATTCTGGTAAAGATGAACTTTCTGATCTCTCATGTTCAGGGTTATTGCATTGATGGTGCCTCTAAAATGTATAACCATTTGTCCGGCATTCAAGCTCAGCTAAAGGAAGCAAGTCCACACTCACTCCACATACACTGTTGACGCCATTTCCTGGGTGTAGTTCTGCTGGCAGTTGCGTGTACAGTAAGCATTGTAACAGGTGGACTAAACTTTGTGGGGTGTTAATGTGCTGATACCAGAATCATCAAATGTAAACAGCTGTTTGAGTGGCTGTTTGGCTGTGAAGACTTGGTCTTCAACATTTTGGATTTGTTCGCTGCTGTTCATCAAAACCATCACTGGCTATGCTGCAAAGTCTAAAGAAGGACAGAAATATAGGAAGAGATACGTGGGCTAAAGTTGAAAGACATCATTAACAGACACTTGAAGGTATAATAATCTTAGGTATTTCTTGTTATGAGAATTTATTTTTCCCCTGTAAAGTGGTGGCAAATAGCCTGCAGAGCTAAAAGGCAAGTGCTCTTGGAGCTGCAGACTGAGTGAGGCTTCTGATGGAATGAGTGTCTGTGCTGCTATCTGGTAACATAGTGACTGATGTGATCATAGGCGTGAGAACGGGTGCTTCACAGTGTGGCCTCTATTAGGCTGAATGGAGGTATAGCGAAACCCTTACAAGTTTTCTTTTCATGCAACAACAACAAAAATAAATAAATAAAAAACTGAAGCACTGTAACAAAGATCATATGAAGTCAGGTGGAGAGCAGAGTTTTATCAAGCTCTGGATTTAGTTCACTCACTCTGAGCTGAACAGATGTTTCAAACAGAAAGGAATGACAGTAGAAGCATTTGATGAGCAAATTATCATTAATCCTGAAATAATAAATAAAAATCCTAAATAAAGAAAAAGAAAAACTTGTCCACACCAGCATGAAAAAGGCCTAAGCTTATTGTGTGTCCAGCATTGCTGGGGGGTTCACCTAACCTTTAATGCACCTGTGTGGATCTCAAGCAAAGATTGATCTTGGGATTATGTGCCTCGGAAGATATTTATTTGTTCCCATCTTCCTGCCTCAGGAAGATTTTCGAAATGACCCCAAAGGCATATTTCAGTAATGTGGCCCAAAAGATTTTTGGGATTTAAAAAAAAAAAAACAGAAAATAAGAAAAACCATTCTGCCTTACTTACAAAAGTATCTTCCTGACAGTTGCATGTGTCATCCTGTTTTAGCTCCATTTGAAGGAACATTCCAGCATATATTTAAGTTATGGTCAAACACACCGTAACACAGAGTTAGACAACCCCTTGAGAGATGAATGTTGAGAGATGTTCTGTGTGACTGCTTGTTTCTTTAGTGATACCAACTTCAGTAATGATCACATCATAGCAGTACACAGCGGTGTATCACTCCATGCGCAAACCTCAACCAAAAAGCCACTCTATTGCCACAAATCATGCTCAGAACAGCACCTAACTTCATCAACAGTACATATATGGTCCCAGCCATAATACAGGCCATCAAACATCTTTTTAGCTTTGCCTGGTCTCTTTAGCAAAGTGACCAGACACAAGTCACCCACTCTCCTCCAGCAGAGTGCAACAGAGTTTCACAGCTTAAGGAAGAACATTTATGATTATTACTCCATGGAAATGCAATCAGACCAAGACGCTAAGGCAGAAGAACTACCACGTCTGCAGTGCAAAATGATTATTATGATGATTATTACTTCATGGAAATGTTCTGCTGCACTCTGTGCAGAACGATATCTAGAACAATAAAGGGAGGGTATTATGGTTTTCCACATTTACATGTAAAAATACAAGGTTTGGTCTTTATACTAGATGTACACAAATTTTCAAATTATGAGGTAAATGTGTGTTGTAATAATCGTAGGAAAAAAATGTAAACTTTGGTTGGTTAGGAAATCACAAGAGATCTCACTGAACCTCTACGAGACTCACTAAACTAATGACATCATTGCAATCGGCTCTCCTAACTGGTCTGGTTCAAAGGACGGCTTAAAAGAGAGCTGCTAAAACAAAGCATTTTAAATAGTGGCTGAAGTTAGGGTATTTTAACACATCAGAGTGAAAAACACAAGGTTTTTTCTTAAAGAAGTATAATCCCCAGCTGACAGGTGTGGCAGAGTATGAAGTCCAGTAGTTTTACGTATCAGTCTGTGTCTGCGGTTTGTCGTCGTATTGATTTCCCTTGTTCATACATCATGCAGTCAGCTGGTTTACTTAATTGCGGCTGTGTGAGCACAACACACATCACACCAACATAGCATTATGATTAAGTTCAAATGAACGCATGCATTCTTGTTGTTCTGCTTTTGAAATTTAGTGCAAATGCTTGGCAAAATTTTCCACTCAAAAGAAGCACAGAATTTAAACACCCCTATTCATCTGCTCCTGTAAAATTTCATAGCAACTGTCATAGTATGTGATACGTCAAGAATGTAACATAAAATGCATGTCTATAAAATGTTCTGTGTGTACTTTGTGTGTTTGTTGGTCTGTCTGTAACACTATAGAGCTTTGATTCTGCATTAGCAACAAATCTGTGTTTATGTGTCTTTTCCCTATGCTGCATCTGTCTGTTTGCCACTTTGTTTATGCTTGTATAACTGTGTTTGTTGGTGTACAGTATGCCACAGAGGACACATAGATAATCTGGTACTTATCCTTGCCTGAGGATATAATAGTATAATTTCCTCCTTTTTTTTTTTTTTACCTCTACACACAGTCATGTGACTACGATATCACTACCTGCCATCCCAGCAGCAGAAAGCAGGCTGCACTTTATCACTTGACCAACCTTGACCTTACCGCCTAATGAAATTCAATTATGGGTGTATTTGAATTCAGACATATTTGGTTGGTTTTGTTTGTTTCAACTGCACCAGCCTGTCAATCAAACCTTGCGAGAAGTCATTAAAATGCTGTAAGTCACATTGCTCCACAGAAAGACAAGGCACCCCATCATATAAAATGTTGCATCCCTTTGTGGGTGTGTGCACAAGTGTGGCTCTTCTGCCAATTTGCATGACGGACGAGATGAAAGCCCCACCACTACAGATAATTAATAAATCAGATTGCCATGATGAAACACTGGGAAGACGTTGTTGCGTTAATCGCCAACCCTGTCCCCTTTCAGTATCTTTCATCTCAGCATCACTGTTTGCGGCTCCTAATTAAATTGTATTTTCTGTTGCTCATTTGACTGTGCTCATTACTCAAGCAAAACCAATCAGCGATCTGCAGCTGGGTCTGGCAATATAGATAAATCCAGGAGTAAATGTTGGTTGATAAAGACAACATGGGGTGTGTTGTGTTCCTCGATAGCACAGACAGAGAGGCTCTTCCTACAGGGTATATATCAGCACATACACTCACCAGAGAATAGTCAGAGCTTTCAGAAGGTTTTTAATGAAACAC